AGTGAGCAAGTCCTGGGGAGACTGGGGGCCCCGGAGACGCTGCCCCGGGAATGTCAGCATGCAACGGTTCTTGCCGCCTCGGAGCGTGGGTGCTGTCCTGCTGGGCTTTCGGGGGAAAGCTGGCCGTGAGGGCAAGCAGGACACCAAGCTAGAGTTTCCAGACTACAAGGCTCAGTGGGATTCCAGGACAGAGTCCTGAGGACACTCGCTGGGGCTTCGGCAGAGCAGACAAGTCTCGCTGGGCTCACCGGACCGTCGGAGCACCCTCCCTCTGCCCCGTTGGGGCACGCTCCCACTGCCCTGTCAGGGCACGCTCCCTCTGCCCCGTCAGGACACACTCCCTCTGCCCCATCAGGGCACGCTCCTTCTGCCCCATCAGAACACCCTCCCTCTGCCCTGTGGGGGCACCCTCCCTCTGCCCCGTGGGGGCACCCTCCCTCTGCCCCAGCACGTGCCATGTGTTGGCAGCCTCCTCGGGTACACAGGCGTGGCGAGGGTCCTCGTCGAGTTTCATCCCATGAGGGTGAGCGCCTCGTCTCAGCCGCCAGCACCTGAGATTTCCGTCTCCCGCCGTCTCACAGGACATTGTCGCCATTGGGATGCTGTCCTTGCCCTGTGGCTGGCTGTGCACGGCTGTGGGACTGCCGGCCATGTTCGGCCACGTCATCTGCGGTGTGCTTCTGGGACCTTCAGGGCTGAACAGCATTAAGGTAAGAGCGAAATGTGGCTGTTCTGGTATCTGTCTGACAGAACGTAGACTAAAACATTTGTTTAGAGAGATTTCTGCTACAGGGCATGTGCGCTTGCTGGAGAGACAGAGACAAAGAGACAGAAAGCGAGCAACCCCCCGGGGGATGGCTGTGCTGTAGAACCTTCCCTCCATCTCCTCTTGGATTTGAGGCACGCACTCATGTGCCCAGCGTGAGTTTTCAAACCACCGGGTCCTGGACTCAAACTGTGGTCAACTCTGTAGGAGTCCAGTGATGTAACCTTTACGCTGTCTGTTTTTGAGAGGTCTTTGCTATAGGGCGCGTGCGCTCGCCAGACAGACAGAGAGACTCTGAGAGACAGAAAGCGAGAAATCACGCCCCAGGTGGGATGGTCACGCTGCAATCCCTTCTCCTCCATTCTTCTCTCGGGATCTTGGGCATGCATGCACACGTGCCCGGTGTGAGTTTTAAGCCACCGGGTCCGGGACACGAACCACGGTCGACTACGTGAGAGTCCAGTGACATAGCCATTACGCCAAGTGCTGGTTCCCCAAGGCAGAAAGTTTTGAATTTGAAATGATGACGGTAACAGTTCCTTATATACCATATCAAATAAAACCTCTTTGAAAGTTCTGTTACGAATCTTTCCTTGACCATAAGGACCCTCAGCTTGTTAAGGGAGAGGGCGTTGGCCAGAGGGAGTTACAGAGCTGTCTGTCTCCACGTCACCTCCCTGGACTGGTGACCTAGATCCCCTCACGCCAAGACCCACTGGAGACACGGCTCATGCGTGTTTTCTGGCAGTTCTGTGCGTGTCTGCGTGGTGTTTTCAGACAGGGTTTCACTGTGTCATTGTTCTCCTTCCTCAGCCTCCTGAATGGTTGGGGCCGTGGGTGTGCCCCATGGTGCCCAGCCTCAGGGCAGGCCAGGAATCTGACGTGGGCCTCTGCTGGGCCTCAGCTCGTGTGCCCCACCACGCTCAGCCTCAGGGCAGGCCAGAAGTCAGACTGCAGGGTATGTGTGCTCTCTAGAAAGACAGAGACAGAAAGCGAGAAATTGCCCTCCCGGGGGGATGGCCACACCATAGGTCCCTTCTCCTCCAGTCTCTTCTCAGGGTTTTCGGCACAAACACCATGTGTGAGTTTAGGCTGCTGGGTCTGGGACATGAACCATGGTCGACTGTGGGATTCCAGCGACGTAACCATTATGCATCCGCTGGTCTCTATGGTTGGAATTCTTAATGAGTCAGCTACACGGTGGGAAAATGATGAATTATACATAGACCAAGATAAAAATCTAAGACTGTATTAGCCAAAAATGGGAAGCGGTTAATATTTGTATTGAAATACTCATCTTTTTTCCTAGTAGGAAATTGATGGTCTCCCATTTATTAAGTTGCAAAATGCAGGTTTGAGACCAGCAGTTAGCGTAATGGCTATGTCTCTGGACTCCCATGTAGTCGACCGTGGTTTGAGTCCCGGCCCTGGTGGCTTAAACTCACGCTGGGCACGTGTGCGTGCGTGCCCAAGATCCCGAGAGGAGAATGGAGGAGAAGGGATTGCGGCGTGGCCCTCCCCCCGGGGCGATGATTTCTCGCTCTCTGTCTCTCTGTCTCTCTCTGTCTCTCTGGTGAGTGCATGCACCCTATAGCAAAAAACCTCTCAAAAAAAAAAAAACTTAAAAAAAATGCAGGTTTAAGTAGGTAATGTTGGAAGTCATATGCCTGATTTTAGAAAGGGAATGAAAGTTAAAAAAAAAAAAAAGGAAAGTGTAAGTAACAGGATGCATAAAGGAGCAGACAGGACAGCAGGAGAAGGAGCGAGCATTGCTGTTACCGGACGTGGACGTGGATAAACCTGTTACAGGGTAGGGCTTTGCAGACGGCATCAGGAAAGTACCGAACCCAAGAGACCCAGTGAAAGAAAGTAGCTTAGAAAGGTTTGGAGTGGTGGAGAGGGAGGAGAGGTGCAGGTGGCAGCAGCACTCGGGAGTCCTTGGCGCTGCAGCCAGCCGTGTGGGTGCTAGGTACTCAGGACGGCATGAGCCCAGGGCTGCCGGCGCGACACTCGCTGGGCACATGGCAGCACAGGAGAGGCAGGATGGCTCGGCGGCCTCCTTGGGTGTACCGTGATCGGTAACACACAAGGAGAAGCAGACGCAGGTTCCGGACATCATAGCCCACGTGTGGCCGGCGCAGTCACGTGAGGACACTCAGACCTGGACGTGCTCAATCTGAGTGGGGCCCAACCATCTGCCTCAGTTAAGCATTCAGCTCGGGCTTGATGCTTGGGGAAAGAATTATGAAGATGAGAGTGGCAAGGAAGGGGCCAGCAGGCAATGTGGACGTTGGGGTGGCTGGGCCCCACATAGCTGATGGCTTGCACGGCATGCCAGACACATGTGGCTGCGGTTCCAAAATCCCTGGAGGGTAGCAGGAGAGAAAATCACGTCATGGCCATGCCCCTGGGGGTGATTCCTCACTGTCTCTGTCCTTGTCGATCTCTGGTAAGTGCATGTGCCCTAAAGCAAAAAAAAAAAAAAAAAAAGCACAATGAATTTGAAAATACTTGTAGAGAAGTCAAGTGATTCCTCTAGCTAATCAAGGGGACAGGGAAGAAGCCACCCACTGTAATCGGAAAGTCAAAGTCATGTCAGGTATGAAAGAAATGGAAAGGCTTAGTTCCCTTAGAAACAAGTGTGTGGTGGGTGTCCGGCTGAGCTGCTGTGACCGGCTCCGTGGGCTGTGCCGTGGGTGTCCTGGTGAACTGCTGTGACCAGCTCGGTGGGCTTTGTTGTGGGTGTCCTGGTGAACTGCTGTGACCGGCTCGGTGGGCTTTGTTGTGGGTGTCCTGGTGAACTGCTGTGACCGGCTCGGTGGGCTTTGTTGTGGGTGTCCTGGTGAACTGCTGTGACCGGCTCGGTGGGCTTTGTTGTGGGTGTCCTGGTGAACTGCTGTGACCGGCTCGGTGGGCTTTGTTGTGGGTGTCCTGGTGAACTGCTGTGACCGGCTCGGTGGGCTTTGTTGTGGGTGTCCTGGTGAACTGCTGTGACCGGCTCGGTGGGCTTTGTTGTGGGTGTCCTGGTGAACTGCTGTGACCGGCTCGGTGGGCTTTGTTGTGGGTGTCCTGGTGAACTGCTGTGACCGGCTCGGTGGGCTTTGTTGTGGGTGTCCTGGTGAACTGCTGTGACCGGCTCGGTGGGCTTTGTTGTGGGTGTCCTGGTGAGCTGCTGTGACCGGCTCCGTGGGCTGTGCGGTGGGTGTCCTGCTGAGCGGCTGTGACCGGCTCCGTGGGCTCGCTCTGTGAGACAGTCAAGTTAAAGGTCTTTCATTTTCTTGTTTTTCAGTCTATTGTGCAAGTGGAGACATTAGGAGAATTTGGGGTGTTCTTCACTCTTTTTCTTGTTGGCCTAGAGTTTTCCCCAGAGAAGCTGAGGAAGGTAAGATTCTGACCAAGGTGTCATTACTCTGAAGCAACTTGTCATACTTAGGGTTTATGTACCTCTAATGTTTGCTGATGACATGGCTGCCAGCTGTTTTTAAAATAGAGTATGATATTTTAATTTCATATTATTTTTGGAACATAAATTCAAAGTGATAAAAAACGATAAACTTGAAAAAGTGGGAATTCAGTGGCCAATTGGCATTAGCATTCACATGGTCAAAAGGCTGGGAAGTGTCTGCACCGTAATACACAGACTCTTCACTACGTTCGTGGGGATCCATATGCGGAGAATTCAGAAATATTTTTTCAGGAACCAGCAGTTAGCGTAATGGCTATATCGCTGGACTCCCACGTAGTCAACCATAGTTCACGTCCTGGACCCGGTGGCTTAGAACTCAAGCCGGGCACGTGTGCGTGCATGCCCAAGATCCCGAGAGGAGAATGGAGGAGAAGGGATTGCGGCGTGACCATCCCCTCTGGGGGGTGATTTCTTGCTTTCTGTCTCTCTGTCTGTCTGGTGAGCACACATGCCCTATAGCGACCCACAGGCCCTAAAGGAAAAACCCCCCCAAAAAAAAAAAAAAAAAAAGAATTCAGAAATATTTTTGCACGCAAATAAAGCCACAACATTTTTCAAGATACATTAGCTGAAAATTTTCCAGATTTAGAGAGGCATGTGAAACATTCAAATCCATCATAAGGTGAAAGGATCCTCTCCAAGGCACATCATAGCCAAACTGTTAAAAATCAGAGACAAAGGGGGACCAGCATTTGGTGTAATGGCTATGTTGCCAGACTCCCATGTAGTCGACTGCAGTTCAAATCCTGGACCTGGTGGCTTAAACTCACGCTGGGCACGTGTACGTGTGTGCCCAAGATGCCGAGAAGAGAATGGACGAGAAGGGATTGCAGCATGGCCATCCCCCTGGGGGGTGATTTCTCGCTTTCTGTCTCTCTGTCTCTCTCTCTCTCTTTCTGGCAAGTACACGTACCCTATAGCAAAAACCTCTCCAAAAAAAAAAAAAAAATCAAAGACAAAGATAAAATCCTAAAAAGGGCAATAGGGAAATGCCACGTCACTTACAAAGTTACCCCATGAGGACCAGCAAGTGGCATGGTGGTTAAGGCGCTAGACATTTTCACATGGCCAACCACAGTTCGAGTCCCAAACCTGGTGACTTGCTTTCTCACTTTCCCTCTGTCTCTCTCTGTCTCTGTCTGGTCAAATTAAAATAAAGTCAATGATTAAATAAAATAAATAATTCTTAAACAAACAAACAAAGTTACCCCATTAGGCTAACATTGGATCTCTCAGCTGAAACAGTATAGACAAGGAAAGAATGGGAAGACATATTTAAAATCCTGAAAGAAAAGCAATTTTAGCCAAGAGTTCTATACCCAGCAAGATTATCCTTCAAATGAGAAGGAGAAATAAAATTATTCTGAGATAAACAAATACTGAAAGAATTCACTGAAATGAAACCAGCTCTTCAGGAAATACTTAAGGGCATATTTACTACAGCTAGAAAGCTAAGAGAGACAGACAGGAGAGCACAAGACAGCCAGAAAAGAAGCTAAGTCCACACGTGCCGGTGTAACGGTAGATGTTGGGGCCAGATGCAGATCCAGCGTAAGGCAGGTGGTTTAAATGCAGATTACCAGTTACTTGGCAGACATTCGTCTCTCCTGATTTCAATGTGCGTACTTACTATAACCATTATTAGTTGTATAGAACTAGACCATAGAGAAATCTGAAATGTTCCAGCTGAGTCTCTTTGGAGTGAATTTTAAAAAGGTTTAAGTCAAGACCTTTGTAAAGCCTGTAAATCTCCAGATCACTGGCTCTGCCAGGTGTGCACTTTTCAACACCTAGTTTGTTTATCTTTGCTTTATTGAAGGTTTCTTTCTCATGCTCAGTACAGTGCTGTGGGCTTACAAGAACTCACACTGTGCGAGTGAAACGTTTTTACTTTTGCTTCCTAAGGAGCTATTACATACACCCTCACTTACCTCTAAGTGGACCAATGATTTATACCTACAGATGTTTTCAGCCTTTCAACTCTTATCTCCCACAGTGCTCTACATGGAGATTGCACACTCTTCTTTCATTGGCTCTGCTAAAATGATCACTGCTGACTTGTGGGATTGCTTGTTGCCTGATTTTCAGTCAATGTGTTCAGAATGGTACCTCACAGTAAAGAATGTTCTAGAGTGTCGAGCGCACACTTGCAGAGTAACCAGGAGCGGTTGCGAGTGTTCACGGCATACTGTTAAGTGTCGCAGCTGGTGACGATGCTTATAGCCTCCACCTGTTCGTTACATACGTGCTCTTATCACACACGTGCTCTTATTACACACATGCTCTTGTTACATACGTGCTCTCATTACATATGTGCTCTCATTACACATGTGTTCTTATCACACACGTGCTCTTATTACACATGTACTCTCATTACAGATGTGCTCATTACATACGTGCTCTTATCACACAGTGCTCTCATTACATACGTGCTCTCATTACACACGTGCTCTTATTACATATGTGCTCTTATTACACAGGTGCTCTTATCACACACGTGCTCTTATTACACATGTACTCTCATTACAGATGTGCTCATTACATACGTGCTCTTATCACACAGTGCTCTCATTACATACGTGCTCTCATTACACACGTGCTCTTATTACATATGTGCTCTTATTACACAGGTGCTCTTATCACACACGTGCTCTTATTACACACGTGCTCTTATTACACATGTGCTCTCATTACAGATGTGCTCTCATTACATACGTGCTCTTATCACACAGTGCTCTCATTACATATGTGCTCTTATTACATAGTGCTCTTATTACACATGTGCTCTTATTACAGATGTGCTCTTATTACACATGTGCTCTTATTACAGATGTGCTCATTACATATGTGCTCTTATCACACAGTGCTCTCATTACATATGTGCTCTTATTACATAGTGCTCTTATTACATACGTGCTCTTATTACACATGTGCTCTTATCATACACGTGCTCTTATTACACATGTGCTCTCATTATAGATGTGCTCTCATCACATATGTGCTCTTATCACACACGTGCTCTCATTACATATGTGCCCCTATTACACGTGTGCTCTTGCTCTTGTTACATACGTGCTCTCACCACATGTGTGCTCTCATTACATATGTGCTCTTATTACACATGTGATCTTATTACATAGGTGCTCTCATCACACACATGCTCTCATCACATACATGATCTTATTGCACACGTGACCTTATTACATATGTGCTCTTACCACACACATGCTCTCATTACATATGTGCTCTCATTACACACGTGCTCTCATTACACACGTGCTCTTATTACATGTGTGCTCTTAAAGGCCATTCCATACCCCACAAAGGTGCCTAGTGATTATATAAATCGTACGTCACGGCACACCCTGAAAGAAGAGAAGGAGAAAAACCACACTTCAGCTCTGTTGGACATGAGTCGTTCCAGTCTGTGCTCGGCCTGCTGTGTCTCCACCACGGAGGGTGTGGGTCAGGAGCTTCCTGTGTGTCTGGGGAGATGGTCCCGGGGCCCTGTCCGCCTCTCTGTCAGGAGTGTCTGTCTGTCGTGTGAGCGCAGCCACCCCCTCTCTCAGTCCGGCTTGCAGGCTCCCCGTCGTCGCCCGGCCCCGCCTGCTTCGGGGGCAGTGAGCGTGCGCGTGTCCTGGAGGAGCTTGAAGAGAATCGGGTTAGGTCTTGGAACACCTCGTAGAGCTCGCCGGGGGCCCCAGACCTGGGGTCTTCATGGCAGGGCTTTGCTAGCGGCTCGACCTCCTGACCGTGCCCGCCTGTTCGTTCTCCCTGCTGCTTCCTGCTTCAGCCTCGGCAGGTGCTTGTGTCCGGGAATGCTCACCCGCTTCTTTTAGGTTGTGCACACTGTCAGTGAGGATGGGGGCAATCCGGCCACCCCGACCTGATGGTCTGTCGGAACGTGGCGTAATCACTTGGTGGACTGCCACGTGGCCTTACAGCGTTACAAGAACGTGTAGTAAAAACGTGTTTGTTGGTACTAAATGCTGGGCCTGGAAAGGAGAGGCCCGGGGCAGGACCCTGGCGGTCTGGAAGGAGCGTGAGCAGCAGGAAAGCAGCCGGAGATCGGTGCTGCGGCCCTCGGCCTCTCTTCCTCCTGTTCCTCAGCTTCTCCACAACAGTCGGCAGAGGCTTCCGACTGAGGACACGTGCGCTTGCCAGAGAGAGACAGAGACGGAGGGAGAAGGCAAGTGAGAAGTCACTCCTGGAGGGAGGGCCATGCCATAAACCCCTCCTCCTCCAGTCTCCTCTCGAGATTTTCGGGCATACACGCACACGCACCCAGTATGTTTTTCAAGCCACTGGGTCCAGGACTAAGACCATGGAGTTGGCCATGTGGGATCCCGGGTCCTGCCATTGCCCAGCAGCTAGTCCCTGCGGCCGAGTGGGACCGCATGTCCTGTTGTTGCCCACCAGCTGGTCCCTGTGGCCATGCGGGACCCCTGCCCCCCTGTCACCCACTGCTAGCCCCTTCGGCCGTGCAGGACCTCTGCCCTGCGTTGCCCACCACTGGCCCCCTGCCCCCATCGCCCACTGCTGGCCCCTGCGGCTGTGTGGGACCCCTGCCCACTGTCGCCCTCCACTGGCCCCTGCGGCTGTGTGGGACCCCTGCCCACTGTCGCCCTCCACTGGCCCCTGCGGCTGTGTGGGACCCCTGCCCACTGTCGCCCTCCACTGGCCCCTGCGGCTGTGTGGGACCCCTGCCCACTGTCGCCCTCCACTGGCCCCTGCGGCTGTGTGGGACCCCTGCCCACTGTCGCCCTCCACTGGCCCCTGCGGCTGTGTGGGACCCCTGCCCACTGTCGCCCTCCACTGGCCCCTGCGGCTGTGTGGGACCCCTGCCCACTGTCGCCCTCCACTGGCCCCTGCGGCTGTGTGGGACCCCTGCCCACTGTCGCCCTCCACTGGCCCCTGCGGCTGTGTGGGACCCCTGCCCACTGTCGCCCTCCACTGGCCCCTGCGGCTGTGTGGGACCCCTGCCCACTGTCGCCCTCCACTGGCCCCTGCGGCTGTGTGGGACCCCTGCCCACTGTCGCCCTCCACTGGCCCCTGCGGCTGTGTGGGACCCCTGCCCACTGTCGCCCTCCACTGGCCCCTGCGGCTGTGTGGGACCCCTGCCCACTGTCGCCCTCCACTGGCCCCTGCGGCTGTGTGGGACCCCTGCCCACTGTCGCCCTCCACTGGCCCCTGCGGCTGTGTGGGACCCCTGCCCACTGTCGCCCTCCACTGGCCCCTGCGGCTGTGTGGGACCCCTGCCCACTGTCGCCCTCCACTGGCCCCTGCGGCTGTGTGGGACCCCTGCCCACTGTCGCCCTCCACTGGCCCCTGCGGCTGTGTGGGACCCCTGCCCACTGTCGCCCTCCACTGGCCCCTGCGGCTGTGTGGGACCCCTGCCCACTGTCGCCCTCCACTGGCCCCTGCGGCTGTGTGGGACCCCTGCCCACTGTCGCCCTCCACTGGCCCCTGCGGCTGTGTGGGACCCCTGCCCACTGTCGCCCTCCACTGGCCCCTGCGGCTGTGTGGGACCCCTGCCCACTGTCGCCCTCCACTGGCCCCTGCGGCTGTGTGGGACCCCTGCCCACTGTCGCCCTCCACTGGCCCCTGCGGCTGTGTGGGACCCCTGCCCACTGTCGCCCTCCACTGGCCCCTGCGGCTGTGTGGGACCCCTGCCCACTGTCGCCCTCCACTGGCCCCTGCGGCTGTGTGGGACCCCTGCCCACTGTCGCCCTCCACTGGCCCCTGCGGCTGTGTGGGACCCCTGCCCACTGTCGCCCTCCACTGGCCCCTGCGGCTGTGTGGGACCCCTGCCCACTGTCGCCCTCCACTGGCCCCTGCGGCTGTGTGGGACCCCTGCCCACTGTCGCCCTCCACTGGCCCCTGCGGCTGTGTGGGACCCCTGCCCACTGTCGCCCTCCACTGGCCCCTGCGGCTGTGTGGGACCCCTGCCCACTGTCGCCCTCCACTGGCCCCTGCGGCTGTGTGGGACCCCTGCCCACTGTCGCCCTCCACTGGCCCCTGCGGCTGTGTGGGACCCCTGCCCACTGTCGCCCTCCACTGGCCCCTGCGGCTGTGTGGGACCCCTGCCCACTGTCGCCCTCCACTGGCCCCTGCGGCTGTGTGGGACCCCTGCCCACTGTCGCCCTCCACTGGCCCCTGCGGCTGTGTGGGACCCCTGCCCACTGTCGCCCTCCACTGGCCCCTGCGGCTGTGTGGGACCCCTGCCCACTGTCGCCCTCCACTGGCCCCTGCGGCTGTGTGGGACCCCTGCCCACTGTCGCCCTCCACTGGCCCCTGCGGCTGTGTGGGACCCCTGCCCACTGTCGCCCTCCACTGGCCCCTGCGGCTGTGTGGGACCCCTGCCCACTGTCGCCCTCCACTGGCCCCTGCGGCTGTGTGGGACCCCTGCCCACTGTCGCCCTCCACTGGCCCCTGCGGCTGTGTGGGACCCCTGCCCACTGTCGCCCTCCACTGGCCCCTGCGGCTGTGTGGGACCCCTGCCCACTGTCGCCCTCCACTGGCCCCTGCGGCTGTGTGGGACCCCTGCCCACTGTCGCCCTCCACTGGCCCCTGCGGCTGTGTGGGACCCCTGCCCACTGTCGCCCTCCACTGGCCCCTGCGGCTGTGTGGGACCCCTGCCCACTGTCGCCCTCCACTGGCCCCTGCGGCTGTGTGGGACCCCTGCCCACTGTCGCCCTCCACTGGCCCCTGCGGCTGTGTGGGACCCCTGCCCACTGTCGCCCTCCACTGGCCCCTGCGGCTGTGTGGGACCCCTGCCCACTGTCGCCCTCCACTGGCCCCTGCGGCTGTGTGGGACCCCTGCCCACTGTCGCCCTCCACTGGCCCCTGCGGCTGTGTGGGACCCCTGCCCACTGTCGCCCTCCACTGGCCCCTGCGGCTGTGTGGGACCCCTGCCCACTGTCGCCCTCCACTGGCCCCTGCGGCTGTGTGGGACCCCTGCCCACTGTCGCCCTCCACTGGCCCCTGCGGCTGTGTGGGACCCCTGCCCACTGTCGCCCTCCACTGGCCCCTGCGGCTGTGTGGGACCCCTGCCCACTGTCGCCCTCCACTGGCCCCTGCGGCTGTGTGGGACCCCTGCCCACTGTCGCCCTCCACTGGCCCCTGCGGCTGTGTGGGACCCCTGCCCACTGTCGCCCTCCACTGGCCCCTGCGGCTGTGTGGGACCCCTGCCCACTGTCGCCCTCCACTGGCCCCTGCGGCTGTGTGGGACCCCTGCCCACTGTCGCCCACCACTGGTCCCTGCGGCTGTTACAATGAGGCAAAGCAGCCGTCTCTCCTAGCCCTGTGCTCGCTTTGAATGTGCTCGAGTTGGTGGACATCTTTAACCCTTTCCCATCTGTCCCATCTCACCCCCTTTCCTCAAGGCCTCCTCTTGCCCTTAACCTCCTCCCCCCACTGCGACCATCCTCGCTCCCTTCAGTCCTTCAGGCGTGCATCCTGGCAGGTCTTCCCAGCCGCAGTGTGCCCTGTGTCCCCTCCTGTGGGCATCCGTGTGTTCGCCTGCCGAGGCCCTGGGGAGAGTGGCCTCGTCTTCCCGCGGGGTTGGCCGAGGGCTGTGTCAGGAGGCGCATGGGGCCGTGGGTCTCTCCAGAGCCGCAGGCCTGGTCGGGGCAGCTGTGGAGGTTTAGTCTCCAGAAGATCAGGGTGAGCAGAGCTAAGCCAAGTGGGAGGCGGGACGAAGACCGTCTGCCATGCCCCAGGCCCTTCCTGCTCCTGCATCCGCCTGCACGCTGAGCCAGGAGACGGGACGAGTACAGCCTTTCTGGCCCTGACTTTCTGGGACTCGGGTTCCCCGCAAAAGCCCTGGGGGAGGTCCTGCGTTCCCCCAGTTGAGCGAGGCCCCTGCTGGTGGGTGACACCATTTAAATGAAGCTTTGGGGTTGCCCCAGCAGCTCCCCCAGTCCCCAGGGGAGTGGGAGAGACTGGCAGAGCCAGGAGGGCGTCGTGTGTGATGTGTACCCTGCTGCTCCAGTGGAGAGGCCTGCTGGGCGGGTGGGCATTGGCCCCGGAGCAGGGCGGCCTGCTGTGTCCCCTCCCAAGGACTCGTGGCCTGTGCTGCTTGGTGCGCTAGGTCATCCTCACCAGCACTTGAGTTCTCCCTGTAGTCGCTGGGGGCTGGCCTGTCACCTGCCAGCAGAATTCTTCGGTGCTTTTGACACGTTCCTGCTTGCTGGCAGGCCCTGGGGACTTCTGTCCTAATGCGTGACATAACATCATTGCCCCCCTCCCAGTCCATGGAGAACTGGCGAGGAGCTCCGTGGGTCGCTGAGGCTGAGGGAAGGTACGGCCATCTGCTGCCCGGCCCTGCTTCCTGGAGTCTTCTCCAGACCCCTCGTAGCTACCCACGCTCCGTCTTCTAGTGTGGCCTGACTGCCCTTTGAACCCCGTCTCTGAGCAGACCTCGGGTCCCCACGAGGGAGTCTGCCATCTTCCTGCATCTCGTTTGTCTTGCAGTAGACACTCGTGGACACCCACGATTTGCAGACATCCGGCAGCTCCTGGTGAGGCAGGCAGCAAAGGGCTTCAAGGATGTGTCTGCGGAAGGGGATGAGGGTTCAAAAGGCGAGCAGCGCGTGAGGTGGCCGCAGGCCGAGGGAGCAGCCCCTGCTGGGGGGTGATGGTGGTGCTTCCTGGGCCCAGGGCCCAGGCCTTCCTGACACGACTGAGCCAGGAGGGCTGTGTCTCCAGGAGCCTAGGGATCCCCTCCTGCTCGAGGCCTGTCCTGAGTGGTCATCCACAAGAGGTCTCTGTACCCCCATTGGCCCAGTGGGTTCCTGGGCCTCCCAATGAGGTTGGCGCATCTCAGGAAGCAGCTGGCCATCCTCCAGGTCGATGTGGGGACAACCCAAGGACTGCCCACTGCCCAGGCATCCAGCAGGTGAGCGGCAGGCCACGCCAAGTGTGACAAGGTCAGGGCCCGCCCTCCGCATGCGGTGGCTCAGTCCACAGGCGTGGCCTCCTCGGTTACTGCAGCCAGCCAGGGCCTGCAGGACATGGCTGGCTATGGGGTGAGGCTGTACACTGGGCTGCCAGCCGTGGGGTCGTGACTGCTGGCCGTGGGGTGGGGCTGGACAATGGGCTGCCGGCCCTGGGGTGGGGGTGCACAGGCAGCCTCTCCATGTCTGTGTGTGGGCTCCTGGCCAGGTGTCTGAGGACCCACCTCACCGCCCATGCTGCCTTGGCCCTGTGCTGCTGACCCCGGGCATGTCACCTGACTGTGCACCTCTAGGTGCTCGTCTGGAAGTGAGGGGCGGGCGGCCCTGACGCGAGGTTTCTTCTGAGGGTGGAATTTCTCTCATGCATGCATGTGGGGCAGCACGCTTACACATGCAGACACGCAGCGTGCGTGTGCACGTGTGCCCGCGTGAGCGGGGCCCATCACAGCTGGCAGGGGCACAGCCTCGTGTGGTGTCTCGTGTGACGGCGTGCGCTGCCTCCTGGGTCCGTCCCCGGAGCGGCTGAGCTGAGACGCGTGTGCCCCTCAGGTGTGGAAGGTGGCCCTGCAGGGGCCGTGCTACATGACGCTGCTGCTGGTGGCCGTGGGCCTGCTGTGGGGACACCTGCTGCGCGTCGGGCCGGCCCAGACCGTCTTCGTCTCCACGTGCCTGTCCCTGTCCAGCACCCCCTTGGTGTCCAGGTTCCTCGCGGGCAGCGCTCGCAGTGACAAGGAAGGTAGGTGCTGAGCTTGGGGCCCGCTCTGTTCCCGGCGTGTGTGAGGGAAGCAGGCGGGCTGCCGGGGTGGCTGCTGCTGGGCCAGCGCGCCCGCCGAGGTGGTGCCAAAGAGGGCAGCGAAACAGCATCTTCCGGGTGCCAAGACTTAACTGGGCCCAGTTGGGGGCACGGGGTAAATGGAGAATGCCAGGCTCCGTGAGGCTGACCGTGGGGGAGGCTTCCAGGATTGCGTCCAGAGACCGCCTGGTATACCGGGCGCTTGCGTGCCCAGGGCCCAGGGCTGGTCCTAGCTGGAGTGCAGTACCCAGACCCGGTTGGGAGGGCTTTCCTGCCATCCCTTTGTCTCACTCGTGAAAGGAATAAAATGAACTTTTAAAGAGACACTAGAGGGACCATCAGTTAGCGTAATGGCTGTGTTGCTGGACTCCCATGTAGTCGACCGCGGTTCGCATCCCGGACTTGGCAGCTTAAACTCACACCGGGTGCGTGTGCGTGCGTGCCCAAGATCCCGAGAGGAGAACGGTGGAGAAGGGATTGTGGCGTGACCATCCCCCCGGGGGGTGATTTCTTGCTTTCTGTCTCTCTCTGTCTGTCTGGCAAGCGCACGCGCCCTATAGCAAACCCCTCCTCCCCCCAAATAAAAAGACACCGGAGCACTGGCCACTGTGAGAGCTGTGTCCTGCAGGGTGGAAAGAGCCGGACAGAGCAGCGTCCAGGCGGTGGGTGCGGAGGAAGTTCCTGAGGTCGGTGTGGGTAGCCAGCCTCGCAGGTAGCAATGTGACAGCCAGAACTAGCCCGGGAGTACAAGGGCAGCTGGCGTCTCACAGCTCGCGTGGCGCTGGGGGCAGGCACACGGGCTGTCCGGGCCCCGAGCATCACCCAGAGCTGGGTGTCACGGGCACGGTGAGGGATGCAGTCCAGGGCCTGCTGTGCTGGATAGACCCACCCGGGAGGGCCCCGTGCCCGTGCCGGCCTCCCCCGAGCACGCTGGGCCTGCACCAGGTGTACCCGTGGCGGCAACTTCACCTTCACTCTAGACCTGGGGTGTGGGCAGGCAGCCGAGGGACCCGCGCCTCCA